CATAGTCATATGTAAGTTTGACATAGTCATATGTAAGTTTGACATCTAGTGGCAACTGACATAGTGATATGTAAGTTTGCATTTATGAACATGCTATTCTGCATGTGAGGTCCATGTCCCTGCCTTAACTTTAACCACCACGCCTCATTCTTTTTTTTTCTGGAGACAGCGTCACTCTGTTGCCCAAGCTGGAGTGCAGTGCTGCATTCTCGGCTCAGTGTAACCTCCCCTTCCTGGGTTCAAGCAATTTTCATTTTGTATTTTTAGTAGACATGGGGTCTCGTCATGTTGGCCAGGCTGGTCTCAAACTCCTGGCCTCAAATAATTGTGTAAAATGTAACTTTGAACGATAACCCCAATCTGGGGAAAAGGGAAAAATGGTACTACAACACCAGTTTTGAGTTGCTTTTTTACCTTCAGGACAAAAATGAGAGTAAGGGACAGTTTTTGTTTGTTTGTTTGTTTTAAGGGATAGTTTTAAATTATTAAGTTATTTGCTGCTCTTGTCAAACTTAGAATTATAAGCAACCTCAAAGATCATCTAGTTCAACCCATGCATTTGGAAAGTAAGGCTAAATTACATAATTATTCAAGAATATGTGCTTGATTCTATATATCCAATGTCTTCTCCATAGGAAGTTATAGTTGGTCACCCCTGCCTTCTTGAATTTTTGTTTACACCGTACACACTCTCCTGATTTTCCTCTGATCTTAGTCTTCCTTGCAGGATACTCCTCATCTTTCGCACCTGTATATACGAGATGTTTTCAGGGCTTAGTCCTTGGTCCTCTTCTATTAATATCTATACTTACACTTTAGGTGATCTCAACTGGTCTCATGGTACTAAATATCATCTACATGCTGATGGCTCCCAGTTTGTATCTATTGCTCTGATCTTTCTACTGAACTGGATATCCAGCTGTCTACTTGATACCTTCATTTAATTATCTAATAAATACCTTAATCTTAACATGTTCAACCTGAATTCCTGATTTTCTTCCATGTCCAGGACAATTCACGCTCATTCCATAATCTTTTCCATGTGATCCACTGCTTACCAGTTGCTCAGGTCAAAATCCTTGCAGTCATCCTTGATATTCCTTCTGTCATACACCCAGCCCATTAGCAAATGCTGTTTTTTCTTTTTTTTATCTTCAATAGATTTCCCAAATCTGACCACTCTGACCACCTATGCAAATCTAGCCTAATCAATTAACTTCCTAATTATATCTCTGTTCTCTCTGCTTTTCATCTTGCCCTTCTCCCCTGGAGTACTCTTCCACATGCATCCAGAAAGTCTTTAACAGAAGGCCTTGCATGATCAGGACCTTACTTGCTCTCCTGTGTCATTTTCTACCAACTCTCTCTTCATGCTGCTCCAGCCGCTCTGGGCTTTTTGATTTTTCCCGCACACCAAGTTCATTCCTGCGATGGGATCCCGGCACCTGCTGTTCTCTCCAGAATGCTCCTCTTGCATGGCTGATTCCCTCACTTGTTAGGCTTCTGTTCACGTCACTCGCAGGAGCCTTTCCCCAACACTACCTTGATCTAAAATAAACCCCTGTCATCACTTTCTATCCCATTTATCCTGCTTTATTTTTCTTTAGAGAACTTATTACTATCTGACATCGTATTACAAATGTATGTCTTCACTGTCTATCCACAAGGGCAGGAATTTAGTCTGTTTTTTCACTGTTAGAGCAATGCCTTGCACATCTTAGGTATTCAATAACTAGTGACTAAATACATGACCAAGTATTTGGCCCTTTGAGTAAATGGCCTCCTCTACATACAGACAGAGAAAGATCATTCTGCTTAGAAGGTGCTGATAACCCTAAAGTGGTTTCTGTTTTTATGCAGATGATCCTAATTGCTTCTGAAGCACTCTTAAAAGAAACGTGAGTCCGTTTTTGTTCTCATAGCGCCTACAGTTGCCATGTTCTCACTTTTGGTTGCATTGTTTTTATTTTCTTAATCTCTGATCATGGTTATTAATAGGACAGTCAGCAAAGATTTTATCTGATCAATACAGCACAGGATACCTGTATGTTGGTAGAGTCAAAGAATGCTGTAGACCTAAATGTTACAGTGAATCCAGTTAAAATTCTACCAGCCTGGGCAACATGGCAAAACCCCATCTCTACAAAAAATACAAAAATTAGCCAGGCATGAGGCACATGCCTGTAGTCCCACCTACTGGGAGGCTGAGGACAGAGGATTGATTGAGCCCCGGAGGTCGAGGCTGCAGTGAGCCATGATCATGTCACTGCACTCCAGGCTGGGTGACTGATCAAGACTGTCAAAAAATAAAAGAAAGAAAGAGAGAGAGATAAAGAGAGAGAAAGAAAAGTAAATTTTAAGTTTATACCTTTTAAAAAAGGCAACTTAAAAACCAGTAAGTTTTAATTTTTAATAAGATAAATAATTTATTCTATCAAACATCGCCAATGTCAACATCATTTCTAACTTTTCAAAGTACATAGCATAAACCATAAAAGTTGTCTTACTGAAATTAAATCTTCGTGAGAGATGGTTTTAATAGACTAGGTTTTTAGCAGTGAAGTTAAAGAATGATAGTTTAGTATACAGAGAGAAGCAGTTAAGGTGACACTTAGTTCTTCATGATGCACTGTAAGCACAAATTGGATATCATATGATAAGTAAAAAGGATGGTCCTTCTGGGCAAATAAAAATTAAATAGGTCCTCACAGTGATATGCAGTCTCCAAACATCATCTGTCTAATTTCTCTCTCTCACCCAAGATAAAAAGTTAAGTTGAAAGATTAAAACCTGCCTCCTTGTTACTATTTCACAAATAACACAGATAGTACCACATTAGTGACTAAAATCCAGATATTTTCCTTTTAGATAAAGTCATATACATGGTAAAATACTTATTTTTTAAGAGAATCAATAAAGCTATATTCATTTTCAGTAGAAAATGTGGCTCATAAACACTTCTGTTTCTCTGAAATTGCCTCTCAGGAGAAAACGTGATCCTTACTATTGATCTAAGAGAAATCTGCATGAAGCAATGCTGTAGTTTATGCTTTTTTTTTTTTTTTTCCTGGAAGGTGGTGGGTGACCTCTGGAGGCAACTGGAAAAAATATCCTGCTGCTTTCAAAAGTGAAGTGGGGAATGAAGAATCAGAAAGTAGAGCTGTCCATTTAGAGAAGGTCTTTTTTTACCTTTAGTCAGGGTGAATTAAAATATTTAATTTTAAAATGGCTTTACTGAACCTCAATTCAGTTAGGTAATAAATCGATTCTGTTAGGTAATAGTTATTAAGTATGTAATACAATGTTAGGGGAGAGACATATAACACTAACAGTTTCAATCTCATTGAGTTTATAATCTACTAAGGAACTGAAGATAAGTGCTAAAAGAACACGAGGTAAAACCTGTGACGAGATTTAGGAGCAGCACAACGAAGTAGGAATTAGTGAAACTAAACCAGCGTCAAGACTGAAAGGCAGGTCAGAAAAGACTGACACCAAAGTAGGTTTTTTGTTCTGTTTTGTTTGTTTTTTTCTGTTTTTTGGTTGTTTTTTTTAAAACATGGATTCTCCACAGATAGGTAGAAAACGTCCTGGTTTGGCGTCATTAGTCTACTTCAGCCCCTCTCTCACTGATTACAACTAAAAGACTCATGACAAAACACAAATGGCAACTGCCTGCAGACTCTGAAAAGTAAATAAAGAATTGAGGTAGGGAGTCAAAACTTAGAAACCTGCAAGGGGATGAATTTCCTGGCTTTTTTTTCTTGTGGTTTGTCCTGAGGAGACCCCAGTTGGGAATTGTCGGGTGGCATGGGTAGCTAAAACTCGAATAAAAATCCCATGTTTCTGTGCTGAAAGGAAAGAACTGTTAGCCCAGAACTCTATTTTCAGTGAAAATATTTTCGGGAATCAAAGTGAAATAAAGACATTCTCATATGAAGGAATGCCAGCTGACCTGCTCTAAAATAAATGCTTGGCGGGCTGGGCGCGGTGGCCCACGCCTGTAATCCCAGCACTTTGGGAGACCGAGGCGGGCGGATCACGAGGTTAGGAGTTCGAGACCAGCCTGGACCAACATGGTGAAAACCCGTCTCTACTAAATACAAAAATTAGCCGGGCATGGTGGCGCGCGCCTGTAAATCCCAGCTACTCAGGAGGCTGCGGCAGAAGAATCGCTTGAACTCAAGAGGCAGAAGTTGCAGTGAGCCAAGATCGCATCATTGCACTCCAGCCTGGGCGACAGAGCGAGACTCTGTCTCAAAAAAAAAAAAAAAGTTAAGAAAGAAAGAAAAAAGAAATGCTTGGAGGGGCATGGTGGCTCATACTTGTAATCCCAGCACTTTGGGAGGCCAAGGCAGACAGATCACTTGAGGTCAGGAGTTCAAGACCAGCCTGGCCGACAGGGTGAAACCTCGTCTCTACCAAAAAGCGCCACAGCACTCCAGCCCGAGCGACATAGGCTCTGTCTCAAAAAAGAAAAAACAAAACAAAACAAAACAAAAAAGCGGGGGTGCAGGTGGGGGGAAGACTTAATGACTGAATGAGTAAGTCTGGAGAGATGGGTTGCAAGGAATGATGAGACTCAGTTTTGTAGTCTGGGAGCCTAAGTGGATGAAAGTTGGAAGAATCAGGTGGAAAAGAACATTTCCAATGGACGGCAAAGAAAAGTATATAACATTTTGAGGCTGTGGTCTGCTTTGTTAAAGAGCAAAAGGAAACAATTCCTCAAATCGATGCCACGCTCCACTTCTTTACAACGATGGAATTATTTCAGGAATTGGAATTATTTCAGGAATTGTGTTTGAAACCACAGCTTTGGATCCCGATTTCTTTCTTGAGCTACTGTTACACTGTTTATATATGGCCACTAATTCGATGACTGAGCTTGGGCAAATTGTTAATTATTTTCTATGACTTAATCTTTCTATCTGTACAACGGGGATAACGTGGAATTTGGGGTGTTATGAGGGTTAACTGAGATAATATACGTGATAACTTACAGAATGACGTTCAACAAATACTTGTGGAGTGAAAGATGAGCAACTCATCGACAGATCTCAGGGATTTCAGAAAGCTGTATAAGGACCAGATCTTCAGGCTCCCTCCCCTCCCCAGGAGACCGGGGAGCCGGCGCGAGGAGCTACGGTGCAATTCTTGGCCCATTTTCCTCATAGTGGTTTGGCGCATTTTTACCTCTTGATTCTCTGGTCCCAGGCTGCAGCTTCAGCTCGCTCCGCCATGGGGCGCAAGTCCGGCAGCCTCTGTGGGCTCAGCTAAGTATGATGCCTAGGCTAGAGAGCCACGTCCGGTCTCTTAGGCAACCATATCAACTTCCGGCTTGAGGCGCGATCCCTGTTGGCGAGAGGCCACATTTCCGCCACGTGACCCGCGCATGCGCCTGCTTGCTGGAGGGCTAGCGTCCGTTGATCCGAACACCTGCTGAGTTCGGAAGTTCGCTTTCTCTGCCCCGGCTCGGGGCGGTCCGCTGGGAGGTGGCGCCCGGAGGGACAGCCGTGCCTCGGGGCGGGGCCGGTGCTCGTCTCGGAGCTCCAGAGGTTCCGCTGAGAAGCACGGCGGCAGCAAGACGACTTCTCCGGAGCCGCCGAGCTGGAGTTGGAAGTGGAGCTCCGTGGGGCCGGGCCCCAGGCTGCGGGGCAGCGGCTCCTGCAGGCGGAGGCCCCGGCGGAGAATGAGCCGGAGCCGGAGGTGGTGGTGGTCTCCCGGCAGAGCGGTGCCACCGGGAGCATGCTGCGATGGTTCACCACCTTGATGCTGTTTGCTTCCTTCCTGGGGCTGGTGAGAGCCGGTTCTGCAACCCTCCCAGGCCGGGACCTTCGAGTCTCGCCTTCGCCACTTGAAAACTGACCTTAGGCGTGTTACCTAATCTGTCTGGACTTCAGTTTCATTATCTGGAAATTGGGCACAATTCTAATCTTGGAGGGTTATTGTCAAGTGCAAAATAGATTTTCTGAATACGTTTTTCAGCTCCAGCAAGGCTTTTTTTTTTTTTTTTTTTTTTTTTTTTGACGGGAGTCTTGCTTTGTTGCCCAGGCTGGAGTGCAGTGGCGCAATCTCGGCTCACTGCAACCTCCGCCTCCCGGTTCAAGCTATTCTTCTGCGTCAGCCTTCCGAGTAGCTGGGATTACAGGCGCCTGCTACTAAGCCCAGCTAATTTTTGTATTTTTAGTAGAGACAGGGTTTCGCCATATTGGCCAGGCTGGTTTCGAACTCCTGACCTCAAGTGATCCTCCCGCCTCTGCCTCCCAAAGTACTGGTATTACAGGCGTGAGCCACTGCGCCCGGCCCAGCAAGCCTTCATACGGCTCCTTGGTGGAATGGGAAGGTTGCAAGAAGGGTTGCCCAGGTCTTTGGCCGCTGCTCTGCGCACCCACCCACTCAACCCCCAAATTATTACACAGAAAAACTACTTTTCTGGAATTTCTTCCTGGGAGTCTAACCAAATTCAGCCAACCGCTTAATTTTGCAGATAAGGAACTAGGCCCGGAGGGGAAAGTGACTTTCTGGATCACACAGCTGGTTAAGTGATAGAGCCAGAAATACGTGTCTTACTCTGCCCACAGTCCTATTTGTTAATAAAACCAACCTTGAGATTCTTAAATGTTTTTCTTGGAGCAAAGGGCAAGCCTAGAAGCGCCTTTTGCCAAATGCCTGGGCCACCGCTCAATTCACTTTTCGGAAACCTCCTTATCACTTGATAATTATGATCCTGGGGGAGTTGAGAGGATGAGTCCTCCCAAGAGTCTTTTGTGGTCACTTACCATCTCAGGGACTCTGAGCTACAATTGTTTCTTAGAGTATTTTGATTGGGGGCGGTGGGGAGGGGTGAAGAAAGAAATCACTTCGGACTTTTGGTGAGTTGTCACTGACTGTCAGGTCCTGTTGTGAATCCTTTGAAAACATTACTTTGATTAGATTCTGTGCTCAGGCTTCTCTCGAAGTACTAGGTGCTTGCTGTGCACCTGGGCCCACGTTGGTCCTTAGTCTTGGACTGTTATGGGTTGGGCAGGGGCGCACCCCATGCATTTAGAGCAGAGCAGGGCAATTAGAATCAGTTATTCTGGAAATGTAGACTGATTGGAAACATTTTTTTCTCTAAGTGTCCAGTGAATTTCCTCTGAAAGTCAACTGTAATCCTTAGTTCTTGCTGACCCTGCATTGTCTTTGAGTGAAGTTTTATTGTTAGAGTCATTCTATATTTGGGCGTGTAATATTTTCTAAGCAACCTCTACTGACTAATTCTGATGGCTTGGACGAAAAGTGTGAATTTTGAAACATTTAAATTGTTTATCTCCTGTATGTTTTATATGTGTAGTTCAGGGGAAGAACCCCATGTGCATCCAGAAGTATTGCTGTTTAACAACATAAAAAACAGGAATCATATTTTGATGTCTTGATCAATGTTTTGATGTTTTCCAGTGGCTCAGTCAGAACTCAACTATAGTCTCAATCTCAGGGCTTAAGCGATCCTTCCATCTCAGCCTCCCTAGTAGCTGGGACTACAGGCATGTGGCACCACGCCTGACTGATTTTTTTATTTTTATTTTTGTAGAGATGGTTGCTTAGGTTGCTCTCAAAATCCTGAGCTCAAGCAATCCTACCACCTCTCCCTCCCAAATTGCTGGGATTACAGGCGTAAGCAACCATGCCTGACTTAATTTAATTAATTATGATTTTTTTTTTTTTTTCGAGACAAGAGTCTTGCTCTGTTGCCCAGGCTGGAGTGCAGTGCTGCAGTCTCGGCTCACTGCAACCTCTGCCTCCCATGTTCAAGCGATTCTCCTGCGTCAGCCTCCCAAGTCGCTGGGACTACAGGCACCCACCACCATGCCCAGCTAATTTTTTGTATTTTTAGTAGAGATGGGGTTTCACTGTGTTAGCCACGCTGGTCTCAAACTCCTGACCTAGTGATCCGCCTGCCTCGGCCTCCCAAAATGCTGAGATTACAGGCATGAGCCACCGTGCCCAGCCAATTTAAATTTTTAACACCCAAATTCTTATTTGTGCATGTAGTGTATTTCAAAATATACGAAACCATTTCAAGAATAGTTTTAATACATTTTATTAATACAGAGTAGTATTTTAAAGGTATTGTTCAGAAAGGAAACAGGATTGCAACAAAAAAAATTGTTTTAAAAATTGAGAGGTGTCAAAACTTAAAAAAAAAAAGAGTTTTAGTCAAAACTGAAAAAACAGTAGTCTAATTCCCTATATCACATTTTAAATCCCAGACCCTCCACCCCTTTTTTTATAGTGGAAGAAACTACCACATAGTCAGACATTATTTTAATAAGTAAAAACTTTTGTCTTTTTAAATTTTAGGGATTGAGTGTTGCTATCGTGGGACCCACGTTTCAAGATTTGGCAACAAACGTGAACCGAAATATCAGTAGCCTGTCTTTCATTTTTGTGGGTCGTGCCTTTGGATATTTGAGTGGCTCTGTGATTGGTGGATTGCTTGTTGATGTCATGAATTACTTTTTACTTTTGGGTAAGTAAATGCTAATTTTAGCTTCTTTATGACTGTCGGGGAATTTACAAGTTGTCCTTGAAAATATGAAAATACTAGCATGCAGAATGGTTGGCAACTGAAATGGGTAGTGTTTAGGTGTTCTCAATGGCAGTTGAGTTTCCCTGGTACCTGCTTTCACCTTGACAGAGGGAATCTGTGCTGGGGCCCTCTGGAAATTTCGATTAGCTCTAGAATGTGTTAGCAATCCTTAGCCTTCCCAACCACTGTAATTTAGATACCACTCCTGGATCACACACTGATTGTCCAAAAAACTCTGCTTATCAGGGTTTAGCGCAGATTTCCTGGGGTCACCGCAGATTAGAATGAGCTCCTTGAACCTGCCCAGGCTACACGCTGGATTGGGAATGAAGAGGGAAGGGGGGTTGGGTGGACTGATGTAGGCTGTTTTTGTCCCTGCTGCCCCATGTTGTCGTTGGACAACCCCAGAGTGCTCTGTCTCACCCTGGAATTAGATGGCAAAGCTTCTTTTTTTTTTTTCGAGACAGGGTCTCCTCTTCCTCTGTTGCCCAGGCTGAAGTGCAGTGGTGCGATCTCTGCTCACTGCAACCTCCACCTCCTGGGCTCAAGCAATTCTCCTATCTCAGCCTCCCAGTTAACTGGGACCACAGGTGCATGCCACCATGCCTGGCTAGTTTTTGTATTTTTAGTAGAGCCAGGGTTTCACCTTGTTGCCCAGGTTGGTCTGGAACTCCTGAGCTCAAAGGATCAGCCTCCCAAAGTGTTGGGATTACAGGTGTGAGCCACCACACCTGGCCTGGCAAAGCTTTTAACATATACCTTTTTTGAATAAATTGGAATATTTAGAGAAAATTTAGGTTAATATGATAAAATTCTTTGGAAGCAAGAATAATAATTTGTTATTGTAATTAATAAATAATCCCTCTTATTTCCAAAGTGGGTTGAAAGAACATATTTCTTGTATTTTCCTCTCTACTTCCCAAACTAATTTATTTAGTAAATTTTACTACAAACTACTGTAGTAATTGCATTTTATTTTTGTCTTTTTAATATTTTTCCTCATGTCTAAAAATTCCTGATAGTTTCTTAAATGTGAGTCATTTCAATTAATTTTGGCTTCTCTCTTTTGGTATAAAACTTGGCCTTATGGTATAATTTACAGTTTGATTACTAGCAATGCTAGAAACGTATTTGTGTTATAATTATTTAGATTTCATAATCCATAAAGATTATAAAAGATTCAAATGAAATAACCACTTTTAGAAGCAAAAACTCTGATCTACTCATTACCTAATTTAAATTTGACCTGATTTTGCATGTTTGGACATTTATGATGTTGACTTGATCCATGACTGCATGGATATTATTTTTTATAGCTGACTTTTTACCTTCCCAGGAATCTCAATGTTGGCTACCACAGTTGGTCTTTATCTTGTTCCTTTTTGCAAGACAGCAGTGTTACTCACTGTCATGATGTGTGTCTTTGGTACTTCAATTGGCATTCTGGATACAGGTTAGTGAGCTCTTACAACGTCATCTCTGGGAGTAGGGACTTTCTGCTAGAAGAAGTACAGCAGATGATATTCAGCTATCACTTACAGTGCCCCCTAAAATGACACATACCTACTGAGTTGGTCATGAGTCACTCAGAATGAATCACCCTTCTAGCAGCTCTTCTTACCAATTAAGGGGACTGTTTCTGAGCAGCCAGCTCTGAAATGAACTTAAAGAATTTTGTTCTATGAGCGATAGTTGATTTACAGTGCCCAAACAGGGAAGGGCCCCTATGTGGGTAATTACAGTGCAGGTGAATAGGCTTTCATCTTGGGTAGAACTTTATCATGCTAGTATGGGAGGAATTGGTGGTTTAATAGGTTAAACCAAGTTTGGAACC